CCCCAAAACCCCAAAACCCCAAAACCCCGAGGTGAAATTAATGGATTGAAGGTAGGATATGGTTATTAGTCGGGTTTTTGGGAAGGGGATTAGTGTCTTATGGGGTTATCATCATATGCTTTAGTGAGTTCAGATTCTGAGAATGGGATCTTTGAAGGATGTGAGCATTTGGAAGCTCAGACTGGTTTTTGACATAGAGTCTAGAGAAGGAGCCCAGTATTTAACAGAAGCTTTGAAGAGCATCAAGAAAGATATGGGGCAAGCCAAGCAAAGATATGAGCGTTTTGGAGCCCAATTGGAATAGGATCAAGAAAAGTGTTCACCTAATCAAGATTCACTCTGATCTTCGATGAGTTTTGGAAAGGGTGTTAAAATGAGAGAGCAAAATGAAGCACCAGAAATGCATGATGACCTTGACCAAATGTCTGTAGTTGATAACATTAGCCCTAACGAGTTGATAAAAACAAAGGATTCTCAGCTGCAAGAAGAAAAAAGTGAGTCAAAATTTAAGATAGCCAAATCTCAGATAATACACTTTTGAGTAGGAAAATTTGGGCATCATTTATAGACAATGGTAAATTTGGAAAGTTTCCCTCTACCAGTAATTACAGTTCCAAGATTCTGAAGACCAAAAATCTGAATTTATATATCAAAGAGGCTATTCTGAGAGTAATATCATAATAAAATGTGATACAGGTACCCACAATCATGGTTCAATCCAGCCAGCTCTTCAAGATCTAACTGAGGGCTTTAGCAGAAGTATCTCGACAAACTCAATACAGAATTCACAGGAACCAGATGGCTTGTTGAAACCTGTTCATGAAGGAGCTGAAGAGATTACTTCATCAAGATGGACTTCTAGCCACCCTGTCAACAGATTTGAGCCTTCTGTGTTCCAAAAGGAAATGGGTATGCACTGTTTTCATGGCAAGTATACTACCAGCCCCTATTACTTCTCCATTCAGTTAATCTACCTGGGTTTACAAAGCAGTCATAGGCTGCACGGCCCATCGATTGTAAATTTAAAGCTTTCAAGTTAAATTTTTAAGATTGGGGTTTTGGGGTTTTGGGGTTTTGGGGTTTTGGGG